ACGTTGTAGCTGACTGACTGACTGAGACTTTTAAAATGTATTTTTCTTTCACGAGAAACTATACGACGTTTATGGTAAGTCTAACTTTAATATACGAGAAAATATTTCATGAACATCCCTCTAAAACTAAAAAAACAACTATCTCACATTATTTGTGATCTCGCATGAAACGAAGATAAATTTCTATGAATATAATTGTTACATGTACTTTAATATTAAAACAATAGATTGATTATTGTCGATATTTGTAACAAAAAGACAAATACTATTAATAGCATTTTATTTTTTTAGAGATGAATTGAACAGATTATAAAGTATCACAATCTATCCATTTTTATTTAATTTAAATATAGACATGGTTTACGGGAAAACAGTTTCTTCATTTGAATTTTTGGAAAGACTTATCAGTTAGTTAGATGATTCGGTTATTGATGACAACTGTTTAATGAAGACATTGATAAAATACAGTTTTTTTTAATTCATTGAGAAACAGTTCAGTAATGCTTGGGATGGGTTTCTAAATTTAAAACGATGCTTCAGAACTACTTTGCATTACTGTCTAGTTTGATTATATGGAGTGAATCCAGTAAGAAGCATTGATCATTTCACGTATATCAGAGTTTCGAATCAGTTCTATTAGATCGGTGACCTACGAATATACGACGCGTTTATAAAATATCAGTTTGCCAATTAATAGTTGAGCATAATATAAAAAATTGTGCTATTGACAGCTGGACACTGTTAGTGTGACAACGTAGGTGACATTTATGCCAAGTCGTACGATGGCTATGACTAACTGAATAATCAGAAAATTATAAAGGAAATTCTTTTTGCTTATTTGCGAGTACGCAAGAAAAAAGATATTCTTGATATGATATCGCCGACTAAAAACGCTATATTTAGGTGTTTGTTAGGTCATTTTAATTTTACCCATCAAATAATTTAAAGTTATTTGATAAAAGTGTTATAAAGAAGTTTTCAGGTGGTTGGTCAGAGGAATTTTCGATTGTTGATACCAATGAGTAGAATACTGATAGATAGATGAACCAAATGATATGACTTGTTCAAGTGATAGCTGCTCATGAAACTGTATTATTGATGCAAGGCCCCAATTAAGTCAATCAGTCATCTACAGCGTAGAACCAGATACATATATGCAACGGTTCAAGTTGCTATATCTCAACCCAAGTAGCACAAGATGAACGCCAAATTCATAGAATCAGTTACTTCAATGGTAGTTTTAAAAAAACGTTTCATATAAGGGTATGATAAAGGGAGAAAGAATTAGTTCGTAAAAAGACGGATATAAAAAAAATTTAACCTAATGGTTTAAGGGAAGACGAAGAGTATATAAACCTACACCACAGTGGTTGATTCTGAGCTATATCGCCCACAACCTCGAACCACTGGTTACGATAGTCACGCGGACCCCAACCAAGTAGTCTGCATCTGCCAACATGGCTCAGATTAGAAGTTAGTGACTTCAAGCACTGATGCCACATTTTGGTTTGATCGCCCCTTTCTTCCATTTGTCTCCAAGACTAGTCAGCATTGAGCTTCGTAGTAATCGGTGTTCAGGCATACGTAACATGTGAACCAACTAGCTCAGCTGATGAACATTCACAACTTCATCAACTGACTTACCATTCCCTAATACTCTGCGTCTAACCTCACTATTACTTATCCAGTGATCCCGGCAGATCCCAGCAATATTTCTAAGACATCTGTGATCAAACACCGGTAACTGACGAGTATCTTCTACTCTTATCGGCCATGTTTCACTGCCATGAAGTAGAACGGAACGAACTGCTGCACAGTAAACCCGTCCTTTGGTTGCTAGACGGATACCTCGCCTTCACCATACGTCAGGTTAGTTGGCAAAAGCCAAACGAGCTTTTTGAATCTATGCAGAGATTTCGTCAGACACTAATCGATTAGGGCTGATTAGACTTCCAAGATAAGTGAATTTGTTGATGCATTCGACTACTTCACTCCCTATCCTAAGTTCAGATGTTGACGCGGGCCAGCAACAACTTTAATAGTAAGTTAAATAACAAGCATAGGAAATATAAGCAAAAGTTTACAGTAATCTATCTTCGACCCAGTACATTTGTCTTTTCGCTGAAAACATGTAAAATGATCAACATTAGCAAACGTTTTTAATTTTCAGCTGTTGATATTTAAAATTGGTATTATTCAGTCTCGGTTGCAACATATTTTGAGCAGACTGCTTTGGTATACTCTTTTAGTTGCGGGTTTTAATGTATTCAGACTACGAATACTAGTGGAATGCAGGACGAGCGTCTCATTCTATTTCTAAATCATATGGATTTAATTTAATGTTTCCCAAATAATAAATTCATAACCGTTGGACAGCTTCGTTGCTATCGAAACTCATTAACCTAGTTATAATGCGAAGCCATGACTGTGGAGTACATTGTGTCAGTAGAGCAAAGTAGGTACCCACTGATAGCATTGGCTAATAGTCTCAATATATGGTTAGTTGCTTGATAAATGCTGAAAATATAATATTGTACTTCAACTCAATAGTGATAGTCGTAACAGTACCTGTGAATCTAGGATCCATATTGACGAAGAGTCTCAAATCACGTACCAAGTCCTTTCAGAATTTCAATGATTTTCTACCTTAGCAATGGAAGATATCAAATATTGAAAATTTTTTATTTAGTTATATTTTCTTTTATTGTTCTTAGAAAGAGGTAGATGAAGGATGAATTATGATGGATGGTGGTTGGTAGTGGAATCCAGGACGCGGGTCTCGTCCTACTTAGGACTCTTCAGCCAAATGTACCTGGATTAGAGTTTATTTTCACGCAGGGAATCAAACTCAGTGCTGTTCATTTCAAACGCCGTCGTGTTATCAACTTATGATGAAACGCTCATCCTAAATTCCATTGCTAACCACCATTCATCTCTGCTTATAATGCTTGTGACTTAAGGGAATATAGAGGGAATCCGCACAGGATGTATATATGCAAAAAACAGACTAATCAGTTACAGTCCCAAACATTAATGGGAAGATTCATACAACTAATACAAATGAAAAATTATTTATGCTTTAAATTTGCAAACATTTTTCTCAAAATCAGATACAAGTATGTGGATGTGTTGATGGGGATTTAATTTACAATTAATAACCATTGAGAAATGTAGGCTTGAAGATTCCCAAAATTCAGAATTCGAATAAAGAGATTTTATTTTCTACCTCTTAGCAACTGTACAGTTATATTAGATCAAGGTTATTGGTTGTTAGTGTTCAGACTGAATGATTTTTGTCCCGTTTATCACAAAAAAATTTTACATAAAAAATACAAAATACTTTGCTTTTAAAACTAGATCTTTAATTGAAATGATGATGAATAAGATGACATAATTACAGTTAGAGAAATGAGTATTTATATGTTGTGAAACTGGATTATGCAGAATAAATATAGGACATTAAAATAAGTTTAAAAATGTAATTTTACAGTTGGGAATAAGTTTACATGATTGAAATATGAATGACAGCTATTGTATTTGAACGTGTGTGTGAGATAGAGATGATGATATTTATTACTATCCCCCTATGGTTAAAACTTAAGGAAATCGGGAGAAGTTTGCATAAGTCATTGAATGACAATTTCAAGAAGTTTTAACCTAAATACTTTTTAATACTTTTAATTAACTGGTATATATTAGATGCAACTGGAATGAAAAAGAATACATCCGATTCAAATGAACCATTTTTTTTCCTTGTATTTTACATGAAAACGCTTTTAACTGAATATTTAGAACTATTCTAACTTGTATAAACCGATAGTTTCGAAAGTGATACATAACTATGGGACAGGTATAAGGTAAAATTTATATTACTTTATAATCTTTTGGGGAAAATTTTATTTTATTAGAAATATATTGTCATTATCATCAAACAGATGATAGAAAACAACAAGTGAATAGGTTATTGCTTTCAGTCAAAATCCATCTTCATACATGTTGACTTTTCTCAACTGAGAATGGGAAAATTTCATGGTGTATTGAACAAAATAGAACAACAAGACTGAAATGAGTTGGAAATTATTAAATTCTTCGAAAACTAAAGCACTAATTAATAAGTAAACTTTGGAAAATATAATCACAACTAAAATTGAAGCTTATTGATAAAGATCTAATCATGAAACAATACATATGAACAACATTACACTTACAGGACACTCTTGATAACCAGTAAAATCAATGTCACATTTTCTAGTTATTAATAATTTATCATAACTTTTTTCTAGTATACATCACGAACTACCAGTAAACACAATCGTGTTGCATGTGAGCCAGGGAACCACTAATGGCACTAGGAGATAGTTGCACTATATCACTAACTAATTAAAATAAGAAATGTAAACCATCGTACGGCGAACCAGTAATCTAAAGATAAAATGGTAGCCGTGTAACATGTAAGTTATGTATACGAATCCAAGTGGGGTTGTGGATGTACATAGCTGAGACGTTTAGTGCTACGCTGAAACGGATGTATAGAGCCTCCCAGTTTTTCATGTTTGTCTAACTAAAATCAGTTCATGATGCAAAATGTAAAATTTAACAAACCTTTTACATCAATAATAATCACACTTTACTGATCTAATCGGCAATATGGTAACACTAAACAAAATGACTCAACATTTTTACATTGTATGTGAACTGACGCTCGCAAGGTTAATTAACCATCAGCAGAGGATAGATTGTGAGAACTAAGCTTTATGCACTGGTTGGCATGAATTACTAATTTTGAAGGAGCTGAAGCACTGGGATCATCACTGAAGAAACGAACCAACACAACATACAACATATCACAATCATGAATATTACCATTGAAGTATTAATGATTATTTATTATTTCTATAGTATTACAAAGGTGGAATATTAAACAATGAATTTATAAATATGAAAATATTTCTACCTTAGAAAATCAATTCAAACCAATATTCAACAGATAACTAACTTACCCGATGGATTAAACTTTGACGAAATTTAGTCAAATCATTTTCAGACACAGATTGTTCACCTAATACATCACGAATATTATTCACAGCCAGTAGAATGAAATCCTGTTTTTTTTCCACATACAGACACGAGAAAAAAGTAGATAAAAATTTCAAAGAGACAGAAAGAAAGGTTTTTGTAAGTTACATAAATTACAATCACATGACTTTAGAAAAGAAAGAAATACCTTTTTTGGCTAAGTTTTCTTTAAAAGAAAATCACATTAAACACATACAATGATTACTGAAAATAAAATTAGTAGACATTTGTAATAAAAAACCAATGTTAGTGTCTACGTTCGTATTTTCTAGGACGACAGTTATTTTGTGAAACTTTTTATTCTACATTGATAACTTTTTAACATGAACTAATATCAACACTGAAGAACAATAGTTGAAAATCAAGGAGAACAACTTTAAACTTGTTTTGTCTTAAATTAGCAGCACATCATGACGCAATATCTAGTATACAAAATCTTAATTCATTGAATAAAGCCACATAATCCAAAGCTTAGAAAACAAAGCTATGAAGAAAGTGGATCTTTATTTTACATACGAGTAAAGAGTGCTGAAACATTTGGTTTAAGGCGAAACCTAAAATCTCAAATCCAGTGATTTGGACGAAAAGATATAATCATACCATACAAGTGATACAATACAATTAGTATATGCAGTTATGTATGAAAACGTGGGGAACTACTACATCCATCACCAAGAAGGTACAAGTATTTATAAACAGTTGTTTACGCAAAATATTCAACATTCAATGGCCGGATACTATCAGCAACAGTGTTTTATAGGAGAGGATAAACCAGCTTCCAGCTGAAGAGGGAGTTGGGAAAAGACGTTGGAAGTGGATCGGACATACATTAAGGAAATCACCAAACTGCATAACGAAGCAATCTCTAACTTGGAATCCTGAAGCCGAACGAGCCCTGTTAGACCGGATTCCAATAGACAGTTGCTAGTGCGCTATTCGACTAAACAGGACAGTAAGAGATCAAAAAGACAAAGACACATGCTGTAGCTTTTTCGTTGTCTTTACCTACACTCCCACTTATTGCAGCTCGGATGAAGTTAAACATGAATTTCTCAGAAAGCTATTTAACCTTCTTCAAAAGCTAAACGCTCTGATAATAATCGAAGGCGATTTTAATGTCTAAGTAGGTAGACCAAATCAAACCCAGAGGCACTTCTGCAGATCTTACAGTTTTACAGCTCAAAGAACTATGTTCAGAAAATGGTCTATTTCTGGCAAACACCAAAGTTAAAAATAAGGAGAAATATCGTCTGAAGTGGCGACCTTCATAACTGACTCATAGACTGAATCAAACTGATCACATTGTCATTGAAGGGGATTGATTGAAGGCTATCCCTCGTTCTAGATCACATGTTTATGTCCGCATCATGCTCTACTTTGAGCACGTATTTGTCTGTGTCTTACTGGACGTAGAAAAGCCATAGCAAAAAAACCCTTACAGTCCAACTTAATAATGAAAAATTAAACATATATTTCAGGAATAACTAGAGGAGTTAATCAACTGTGAAAATGATATCTAACCCGATGTAGTCTAGTATGATATCCTAAAAGATGTAGAGAAATCAGTGGATTTTAGCACTGTCTACTGAGCTGACAGATGCTCGTAAACCCATAACACCTGGCTTAGAACACGATGAGTAGGGGCAGCTTGAATGTAAGTTGATTAAAATCCTACGTAATGATCGTGAGCGGTGGTGGGTAATGATAGCAGAAGAGATGGAAAAGGCAGCAGCGATAGGTAACAGTACAAGACTGTTCAGACTTATCAAGGAAGTGAGTATTAGAAATACGACTGTTAGTGAAACTATTTCGGGAAAAGATGGGGATATTATTCACTCCCAATTCAGAAGACTAAACCAATGGACAGAATACTTCAAGAAACAGTCCAACTGACCTTCAGACACACTTTCGCCACCCACTATCTCCAAGAAACCTGATGTGAGTCCTCCAACTCTTGATGAGGTTGAAAAGGCTATAGGTAATCTAAAATGAGAGAGATTTTTAAGGATGCAGGTCCAGTTTTAGCAGTTGATTGAAATCTTAGCTGAAACGTGGGAACTGGACATAATTCCATCTGACTGGTCGCAACCGTACGTTAAACTTTCTCCCATTATTTGTTCGCTCCATTAATGCATATTGCTCCTCTGAAAATGCATTAAATGCTCTAGCGCCTGTAAGTGTATCTTACTCCACAAGTGAGATTATAGGGACTTTAAATGTTTAACCACTTACTTGCTGTCACTTTACATTAACACTGTCACTAGTAACTCTAACACGTTTGAATAATATCTAACATGAACAGTGGTAACCTGACCGGCATATTTTGGCAATCATTGTTTTGTTGTTCCGTGCTCTTTGCTTTAATCTTACTTTCTCTAGTTGTAGATATTTATCAATAACTCGCTCCGGCACTGGAAATAACCTTGAAGAAATACGTTCATAAATCATCAAGCTATCCACTTAAGAAAAAATTAAAAGTTCCCTGGTGTTGCATTGGCTTGCCGTGATACATGCCATATATGAACTACTTATCAATTACTGAACCAGCAAACATAAAACAAACTTATATTTCATGTTTGTTCTCTACGTTAAATGTTGCTTTTTATATCAATCTGATCATGCCTGTAAAATGGTGTGAATTCTGTAAATATTATTTTCAGAATATATTATTATTATTATTATTATAAGAAAGAGAAAAAGTCCTCTGGTGACAGTGACAGAGGAACCACTTTACCTAATATATCATACAAAAAATGTTGGCCTCAATAGTGTTTCAACGTCTAACAATAGCTGGTGAAGACCAAAGCCGAATAACCAGGCTGGTTTCTGACCTGAACGTGGAGGTATGGACCAAATACTCACCCTCCGGTAGATTCTAGGACGACATTCTTCCGACGTCTTACTATGGTTGAACTACTTGACCTTGAGCCAGCGTTTGACTCTGTTGGTTGTGAGGTTCTCTGGCAGTGTGTTATTGAAATGCATACCGAAGAAGTACATTAATATTGTGCAGAATCTCTACTCGAACACTAATGGTCGAGTCAGAGCTCATGGAGAACTGCCGTCGGAACTGGTTACTTCAAATGGTGTTTTTCGGGGTTGCCCACTTTCCTGTTCTTACTTAACTTTGTAATAGACATGCTTTTAGGAATTACATTGTTGTCGTATGACTTTTTGAGAGTCCATTTTCTACCAGGAGATTCATCTGTTGACTTAGAATACCCGGGCGATAAAGTTCTGTTAAATGAAGACGTTGACAAAATACAGTCTTCTGACCGCCTTTAGCAACAATACAGAGTGACTGGGATGCGGATCTCTCCCTTGAAATGTAAAGTGTCACCTAAGGATTGGTTTACGTCATCTCCTGAATTAATGATAAGGAGTGAAGTAGTTGAACACATCGACCGCTGAGCTTATCTTGCGAGTCCCATCAGTACCGATGGTCTGGTATCTGACGAAATCTCGGCACGGATTGAAAGGTCTCGGTTAAATTTCGCTAACTTGTACCACTTGTGGTGTAGGCGAGGCATCCGTCTTCCAACCAAATGGCGAGTTTACTGAGCAGTAGTTCATTGCATTCTACTTTATGGATGTGAAATATGACCATTAAGAGTAGAGCATATTCGTAGATTACTAGTATCCGATCATACGTATCTACGAATCATTGCTCGTGTATTTCGGGAGTGGAATACTAGGTAACGATGGGGTAGTAAATCTTCGTCAGCTGGACAAGTGTTAAGTGTCCCCACCCACTGCCTAGTCTAACGAGTCAGTCAGTCAATCAGCTAGAACGAATCTAACCTACACTTTTAAAAAAAGGGCACGTGTAGACGGCTGAATGACTTATTGTAGACTGTTGATAGATACATTTGTAACGATTGAATAAATAAAGTCAGTAGTTTTTTGTTTAAATATTAACCCGTATAGTATTCTATTTAATATCAACCTACAAAGAACCAAAAATATATTTGTAGACTAATTATGACGCAAACGCCCAATATACTTCATCCTTTGTTCTGAGACCATTATCCATATATTTCGAAAATACACATTTATAATATTAACAGAATTATATATATATATATATACTTACATCCATATACTTTTTTATAAGCTGATCAAAATCTCGATTAACAAATGGTTGTAAAAATTTTCTTAATAAACGTAAAGTTGACTTTGCATCTAAAATTAGTCCAGTATGTCTAAAGTAGAAGAAAAGCGATAAAAAGAAAAGCAAACGAGGAAAGGAGGTGGAAAAATGAAAGTGAGCAACTAATACGGGAGATAAGATATATTGATTTATTTCATAATATATCCAACTTACAATACAACAATATGTTTACAAATATTTTCACTATTCATTTTATTACTATTTCAACAGTATTCCTGCATATATAGCATTGTGCCGATTATATATGATATAGTATGAAAACTTGATCTGATGTATATTTATAGCAGGCTCCAAGGAGACGGTATATGTCATTGAGATTTTATATCCCCAAATGTAACCCTGTAGTAAAATAGTTTTTCGTTAACATTTTACTTCGCATACATGTGTTATCATTTCTCTGTATGTGGACAGAATACAGGTACAGATGATGACAGAATCCAACCCCCTTACATACTAAATAAAAAATCATAATAACTACACTCTATAGAACGTAACCATGTTGGAAGAACAGATAGGTGGGAGTTTGTAAGCGAGATATTAAATGCTTGTTTGGAAAAATTCATCATTAGATAACTCCAGTGCTTTATTACACACTAATCAAATAACTTTTCAATTTCATTATTAAAATAATTGACTGAGTGAACAAAACCGAAGTATACGATTTCCAAAATAACTGAGAAAACCGATGATAAAAATAATAACTTGATTTACGCAATGACCTCGTCTACAACGTCATAATTTAACAACGGCCAATTACCAAATACCTAATACCTCAGCTTTACTTAGATGTTGATATACAGTGCTGATATTTTTCATATCCACAATTTTACATGGATTTTCATTTGAACACGCAATCTTTTATTTTATTACTTACACTATATAATCTAGTATTATAGCCTTATTATCAAACCACCATGCTCATTTATTGTTCATAGGTCCTTACGGTATATATATATCGTAAAGCGTGATAACAAATTCATTGAAAGGAGACTGCTTCCCTGAACTTCGTGTTTTAGTATATACCATGGTCTGATACAGTAAGCGAGCCACGTTTAATAAGTCCCCTAACTATTTTCATACATTGATCATCACTGGCCTATCTAGTACTTTTTTTTAGATGAAATCAATTATGAGAAATAATGACTTCTACAGACTAAAATGAATTATCTGTTTTCGAGTGAAGCAGCGTGGGTGTAATACAATCACAATGTAACTATTCATTGAATCGTTCGCATCGCAAATGAAACTTGTCTCAAGGTCAATCATGCTTTTTTCATTGGCATAGCTATGACTGCTATGCTTACCTAGATGGAAAACAAGCAAACAAACATTAGATAAATATATAGTAAGAATAGTATATGAATACAAATGTGTTAATTTGTCTACGTGTGTACATATCTACATTGCGTAGGCGTGGAGTCCTAAAATCAGTGTAAAAATGCAAACTGTAAAAACGTATATCTCATACAAATAGAAAATAACACAGGCAAACAAAACTGTTAACAAGCATACTTTAGAAAATGATGTTGTAAATAAATCATACCACTACTAGACTAATATAATAATAATCTAGGCTAAAAATAAATCTACCTGAAGTCAAGTTTCCGATTTGTTTAAACTAGGTCACTTTTAACCTTGGTGATTGATACTCATAAAGAAGGGAAGTAGTGTGTATTTGCTTTTAGGTGTGTATTGGTAGCACTTATGACTAGATAGTCAGATAACCGATTAGTTAGTCAGTGCTGTGTAATTAAACACATACGTGGTGTGATTAGTTTTTTTGTTTTCATATATAATAATCATTACCATATCATATGGATAATATTAATTACAATGTAGACTATAAAACAAAACTATATTAATCAGAATGGATGATATATATATATATATATATATATATATATATATATATATATATATATATATATATATATATGTAAATTGGCCTGCCTTCCCAAAGAAGGTATGAAATAAAGAATAAACAACTAATGTATCGTAAAGAAAGGAAATAAAAACGACAACAAAATAAATGCAACATTAGTCACTGACATGATACAAACGTTCCCCCAATGTAATATTACAACTGTCTTTAAACTATGTATCTTTTTTTCTTTTTGGTATTGTTAGGGTTTTATTATGGTGGTGAATTTGGGAATCCACACACCGGAACAACATAAAACAGAAGACAATATTTATTAGGAAATCATCGACCCTCACTTAGTTGAATGGTTACTGACCATCAGAACTTGTAAATTTCATGGCCATTGTTGTTGAAATTCTTAAGTGAATATTAGTTAGGCAGTAGTCATAATCATTGTGAGAGTTGAGATAGATGTGGGGATCAGTCTGTGTTGCCAAATCAAATTAGCATAGCCAGTTTGAAATTAACCATATGAATAGAAAATAAGTTGAAATAATCGTTAAGAAAAAGAAGACCAGATGTAGAGAACTTGTACCAAAAAACGAAATGAATTAGTTGAATAAAAAATATATAAAATAATATTAAAACCCAATATCTTGAGGGATACACTGGATAAATCCATCTATACTATTGCCATTCGACCCAAAATCTTCAATCACTGATCGCAACTACTGCATGAACACTACCACCCTCTGAACTAAGTACACTACACATATCAGTATGACTGAAACCAACAGTCTCTGACTTTATGAAATGATGCCACGTTTTACCCTAGCTCTCTTAACTTACCATTAAGTCAGCCAATAATTTAATTAATAGCTTACAATAGATGCATGCGTAAATTGTAAAAATGATTTGCAAACTATACAAATAACTAGGTCATTGTTTCATAATTGTTGAATTTCCTTTCGGATATGCGGCGTCTGACAACGTTGGTATCCCCAATGTCCTCCTACACAATAACTCGAAAAGCAAACACAAGTGGGTACAGTTATACGGTGGGTTTAAATCCAGTTTAATGGTCGGGTCTTAATTTAGTGGAGAGTGAGTGACCTTTAAAAACAATATCCTCCAATTATTTAATGGCTTCTATGTTTATTTTATGTAACAAAATACTCCAGCCTTCTAACTACCAGTGGTATTTCTTTGTTTCTTCGGCGGTTTGGCTCAGTAATTCTGTCATGTGAGTAGCCATCACAACTCGGTTAAATTATATCATTGTGTACATCTATTTATCAAAGCATAACATTTTACTTATTTCAACAATTAGAAACCTCGTTTATTCATGCGATCCACCTCTATAGCATACAAAAAAGATATAAAACAGACGATATTAAAAGTAATAACAAAATGATGTACAAGACTGATAGGATCATAAAGAGAAGAGATGTGTCAGCAGTTTGGATCAGTGTAATTAATATTGAGTTACAGAATTTAATGATCTCTTCTAACCATTTATTTTGCTTACAATATGTACATCATCTGGATAAGAAAGTCTGTGATTCGGAATGTTTTAAAAAATTAATGAATAGCCTTAACATAATTACCCTCAACTTTATTTCACTCAATACTTAAGTTAAGAACATAGCCAGGTTGTCCTATGGTCGGTGAAGATTCAAAACCTCATCAACTGGTTTATCGCAAATATAAATTTTAATATCATCGATACTAATGTTATTTTGGCTCCTTTATCATATATCTTATTTATTTCCTATCTTGTTATACTATCGACGTACAGTTAGAGGAATTTGAACCAATGCACATTCGTGCCAGGTGGTTAAATGTGATGTTAAGTGGTTAGAGATAGTCGACAGAAAACATAGGTTTAAAGCCATTTGGTACTCCTCATCAAGGTATACTTGTAATCTTGAAGGAACTGGTGATCTCTGGAGCGTTTGATCGCGTAACACGCTGCCACACAATGTGAGACGTTGCCACTGAGTTGTTCGTGTTGCAACTGACCTGTAAGACTCAAAGATGTTCACAACTGACCGGTCACTTAGTAATGACAAGTACCGTAACTGTCTAGTTCTTTAGTGCTAATCGAATTTTATAGACTAAGTTACATGTGACCACCAGTTTGAGTGACTTGACATCACGTGCACAACGTTTTGATGTTAGGTGGTAAAAGATAGTCGACAGGAATCCTGAACCTAGATTCCGTGCTACTTGAAGCTTGTCAGCAACCTGATAGACAGAATTCGACTAGCACAAAGGTGAAGGACAAATACAACATTGGTCACTACACAGTGATTGATCACATGTTGTTTATATCTGACTGACTGAAGTAGTTAGTTTATATTTTGACGCATGTCAATCATCTGTCTGTGGTACAACTTTTAAACTTACTGAGGATAAAAATGCTCAAAGTTACTACTAACAAATAAGCAGAGAAAAATCATAACCATTCACTAGTATAGATTGGACAACAGTTTTAAAAAAAATACAATTAAGGATAGAAATAAAAAAGATATTTTTGGATGAAATTAACAGAGAATACGGGAATAAAACAATGAGATTCACTGGTTAGAGGAAAAATATCATAAATAGACGCTTTGCGTGGTTGTGATCAGCTTCGAACCGGTTTCATCATCATTCATGATATCCTGACACTGTTGGTTCCACATATTATGATGATACTTAGGGCGATAGACCTTACTCAGACAGTTAATTCTAACGTCATCCAGGTCCTTCATTATGCTGATCTAGATTTTATTTACAGTGGAATTAACAGATTTATGATCACTCAATTTGTTGAATAAAGTATTTAAAGAAACAGATGTCCAATGCTTCCTGTTTTTCAATGATTGTTTAACTAAAATGAGTTCCATAATGTAAACTATGAAAATAAAGTGATAACAAATAAGTAAATAGTAGTAATAAATGCTAATTAACTTACTTAAGACGTCTTTCAAAGCCTGAATTTTTGCGACTGGAATATTTTGGATAGTGAAGTACATTAGTATAGCGTAAATTGAAACGTGGAAGACTGGTGCACTAAAAACCACATAAAAAAGAAATTAAAATAACACCTACACCATAAAACATTGCACGTCGGGGCAGTCAGTGGATGGGCATACGTAACACGTGTCCTAGCCATCTCAACTGATGAAATTTCATTACTTCATCAATCGACTTGCCATTCTGTCCTAGTACCTGTCCCCTAACAATTGCATTACTTACCCGGTGGTCCCAGGATATACGAGCAATGCTTCGAAGACATCTATGATCGAATACTAGTAGCCTACGAATATCCTCTACTCTTATCGGCCATGTTTCACTGCCATAAAGTAGGACGGAACGAACTATTGCGCCGTCCATTGGTTGGTAGACAGATATATCGCCAACGCCATAAATGGCGCAAGTTGGCGAAAGTCAAACGAGCCCTCTCTATCCGTGCTGAGATTTCGTCACACACCAGACCACAAAGGCTGATGTGACTCCCAAGATGAGTGAAGCAGTTGACACGCTTAACTACTTCCCTCCCTATCATTAGTTCAGGTGCAGATGCAACCCAATCCTGAAGTAACATTTTGCGTTTCGAGGGGGAGAACCCCATCTTGAACATGCCTGCATTGTTGCTTATAGTGGTCAGCATCTTCACCAAATAGAACTATGTCGTCGGCATATTCCAAGTCAACAAGTGAGTCTCCTGGTAGAAGTCCAACTCCTCTAAATTTGGATGAGGAAAGTGTTATTGCTAAAAGCACGTCTACGATAAAGTTAAACAAGAATGGAGAGTGGACAGCCCTGATGAACACCACTTGAGGTAATCAATTCTGATGACAGTTCGCCATAAGCTCTAACTCGACCAGTTGTGTTCGAGTAGAGAGCCTTTATGAGGTTAATGTACTTCTTTGGTACTCCTTTCAGTGACAAACACTGCCATACATCCTCACGATCAACGGAGTCAAATGCCACCTTAAGGTCGAGAAATACTACTATTGTGGGACGTCTGAATGTGTGTCTATGTTCTAGGACCTGACGTAGGGTGAATATCTGGTCTATGCAACCACGTCCAGGTCGAAAACCAGCCTGGTTTTCTCTAGTCTTCTCTTCATGAGCTTTGGTTAGGCGTTCAAGTATTATTGAAGCTAATATTTTAGACACTATATTAGTCAAACTGATTCCTCTGTGATTGTCACAAGAGGACTTTTGTCCTTTCTTATAGACTGGCACAATCAGTCAGATGGAATTAAGTCCAGTTCCCAGATTCTACAGCCCCATTTTCTAAATCACACACCATCCTGACTTTATCACTCCGTCCCAATGTCGACAAATAATGCACTATATAGAAGAAACTGGGAAGGAATTCGCAAAACAGGTCTAAACCACCGAACCTAGTGTTTCAATATGGTAACATAAATTTAGTTACCGTCAATGCATCCAAACACACATTTTCAAACCTCAACACTACTAGCATGGTGTTACCATTAATTGTCAGCAATCCTTCACAGACAACGATAATCAAGAACAGAGGGTTGCTGAACATCTCAAACTTGGGAAGACCAGGTTTCAGTAGCGCAGAGAAAAACTGCTCTTATTGCTGCGTTGTAAATCCAACATTTAACAACCAGAATAACATCATGACAGTGGAAAAGATAGGGCAGATTAGCATAAACCGCTCATGAAACATTCGCCTTCTGTATTCAGCTTAGAAAAGTATTTAAACAGAAGTGCAAAGAGAAGAAATTATGTCAAAAGTAGATCATGCTAAAAAGCAGCTTAAGAATTCAATTGGTGTTAGAATGACTGATTAAAATATCGTCTTATAAGCCTGGACTATATGTTAATGAAGGGATGGTTTTGTTAAAAGTATTAATCTGGTTGCAGGCTTGAATCTAGTTCTACTTACTTAGGTTCAGGCAGCCAACTAATCTATCATTAACTCTCACATAAAAAGCGTGGCTCAAAGTAGAGTATGCGAAGCTACGCTTATATACCGAAATACATTAGTTTATTTACACTGTGAACTACTCAGTTGTGAATCAATTTATCAAAATTATGAAGGTTTTAAAGTTTATTTTCGTTAAACTTGAACAGATAAATGAGAAAAAATATATTTTGACCATAGAAGAAACATAGAGTATGTGACTGCAGATCGCTGAACATGTTAATTACATGATGAACATAAGTGAATAATCAATCGTTGTTTCGTGACATCGACTTTAGTGTTTAATTTATTTGTTTACCTACAATAAATTAATAGTCATATTACTCTGGCCGGATATTTTATGCAGCAATAATAACTTTATCCTATTAATACATATTAACAAAGTTGTCCTACTACATAAAAAACGATTTGGATCGGTCCCGTGAGTATCTTATCAGTTTGGAGTGGTGGTTCAGTGTTTTAAGGAGTTCAACTGCCAAGTCCTAGGTTTGAACCCCGCTCCACCTACCTCAGTTTGAGTAACCTGATAGTGTCATTACTCCTCGCACTTGGAGAGTGGCTTGTACCTAAGTACATGATGAATGAGTAATCACATTACAGAATTTACAGTAATCCATAAATCAGTTAAGCGAGCATGACAGCCACTGTATTGTCTTTAGGTATAAACGATAAGGACTTGTTTTCAAAGTGAAATACAGGTTTCTTCAACTTTTAAAATAACTCATTACATATAAGAACCAATCAACATGCGAACTTATGTCTCTCGGTGCTCACAATGGCAGAACAAATGGTCATTCGAATTTAGAAGTAAGCCTGAGCCAGTAGATTTATTTATTTTATTTATTTAAACACATAAATATTGGTACAAAGGGGCATCAGATACATACGCGCCACACAAATCTCATTTGATTTGTGTGAGGGCTGTGATACTGCCCAGGTGCCCAAACTAAAGCAGGTGGTTTTCTTAAGGGGCCACACACGGAGCCTTTGACCTAAATGTCTGATCCACAGGGCAGTGGAGCATCGTAAGGAGATGCAGTCCCATGGTAGCCGGTGACCAACGATTGATTCATACACCATTTGTTCCTTCAGGATACTGGAGCCCATGTGTACCATTGGTTTGGAATCAGGGTTTTCCAACTTCCCTAGGTGGACTTTCCATGTCCACCAACCCGGTTAAAGCGTCGGACGAGAAGGCAGTGAGTAGGACTTCCCTGGCAGAGGCTATATACGCGTGGCCATGTGAGAGCATTTCGAGAGGAACCAATTGATTGAAGTTCAAGTGCTTCAACTATTATATCATTGCAACCCATACCATATCATATCATTATAGTATTTACTATTAAGCATAAAAGCTAAAAGAATTATAGAATCAAAAACAGATCTCACTTTTTCGTCAGCATTTGAGCTTTCCGAAGTATTTGACGCAGATGAATTTTCAATATTAAGATTAGGCAATTTTTTGTCAATAGTCAAATCATCATTGATATTAGTGATGCAACTAGTAGTACTGGTACTGGTACTACCATTACCGCTGCCATTACTATTACTGTTAGTAATCAACATACCATTTTCGTAGTTATTTGATAGATTATCGTTTAGATTATTACTAGGTAGTTGAGCTGAAGATACAGTAGAGGTTTGTGTTAATTGAGATACATTTCTGCAAGTCAATGATGTTGATGATGGAATTAGGCAAGTTTGGGGAATATTTGAACTGGATGTCGGGAATAGATCAGCAATTAAATTTGTTAAAGAGTTATTATTATCACTAATATTTTCAACGATGGCAGACGTTTTAAGAGAGGAGGAATGGAAAACAGGTGGATGTAAAAAGGAGAATTTACTGTCTTGATTAGATAAACTATCACCGGATGCATGATGTAATAAAGTTGAATTTAATTGTTCGGATTGATGATAAGCACAATCTCCTGTTTTATCTGTAATTATAGCAGCGTTATTCATAGTCGCAGTTGTTATTGTTGTACTGAGAGCATTGGATGTAGTCGTTTGATTAAATGATTTAGTATTGACACTATCCAACATAATCCTAGATGATTCTAAGTGTGCACGATTAGAGGATAAATAAGGCTTAACGCTTGGAATAGGTTTTAAACTATGAGATGAGAAAGAACAGTATGAAGGACGGAGATGATTAGAAAATGGTACGGACGGATAAACAGACGATGGTAAATTATATGGACTATGAAAAGGTGATAAACTGGACGATAAGGTCGATGACGATGAGACCGGTATCACTGAAGACGAGGTCGATTGTAGTAAGAAAGGTAACGGTTGAAACATCGATGGCATTGATGCAATGTAATCATTATTCGGAGTCAATTGTAAATCTGTTGGTTTACAATAAGATAAAATAGGATCGGAAGGAGGAATTATGGATGAGGTCAGTTGTCGACAAAATGATCCCATAATAGTTTGTCGATTTTCAGGTACATAAAAAGAATTTCTCATTGAACATGGTTCTTTGGTAGGATTTAGTGAAGCGATGTCTACTTGGAATAAAATGTAAGTCATACATAACATTAATGGAAAATATGAGTCATAAAATTAATTGTAACAATAGGTCACTACCAGTATTTATATAAGCGGTAACATAATAAGCTATAAAAATACAGTGAGTAAAGTAGGCAGCTCTCAATCAACAAGTTTGAAACCTGAACCCTATAGCATCTACATCGGTTTGGACAGTCAAGTAATATCATTAACCTTCAAACATAAGAAGTGGCTCGAAGCCGATTACACAGTCCTGTACTCGATAGGAATGAATGAAACTCATTCTTATTCACAGGAATTAACTAATAACAGACAACTTAGGACCTGGAAGGAATCTCTGTCAATCCAAATTGTCGTATTTCATATTAGGACAGTCAGAAAGGAAGCTAACAAGATGAGAGAAAACAATTTCAACTGTAATGGAAAGTTAACTATGGAGAGTCAGTCATTTATATGCAATGTAGAATCTGGCACAAAGGTGTATCAGCTTAGTTTCACCACATATCACCATAGGGAGATCCTAGAGTACAATAAGCAGTAATAGCATTGGCGGTAGTAGATAAAAATAAATTAGATCAGAGAATGGAAAGCGTGGTATGACACTAAATTCAAAAGTTATAGAAAGATATGGATAGATGTATCTGATCCAAGTCACCCAACGTCTTGCGATCACCGCCCCGACCGCAGTCAAGTAGTTTGAATCTACCAACATGACTCGGTCTAAAAGTCAATGACTTCAGAGACTGATACTATGCTTTGGCTTGGTAGTCCCTACCTTTCTTTCATACTTATTCTTAGGCCAGCCAACATCGCGTTTCAAGGCAAATGATAGTTTAGGATACACAACACATGTTCTAGACACTTCAGTCAGTGAGGATTTACAATTTCATCAATCAGCTTTCCATCTTTGCTTAGTATCCCGAGTCAAACCTCAACATAGTTGAGTCGGTTGTTCCATAATAACTAAACAATACTATGAAGACACCTATGGTGAAATATTCATGTCCTGTTTATATCTTTTATTTTCATATACAATATTCCCCAGACATATAAAGATACAGAATGAACCTCTGCGATATATATATATATATAGTGAAGAGGTATATAGGGAAATACTGAACCGTTCTCGATATATCTATGCATGCGCCATTGAATTGGGAGTTTATGGCAATACCAAATGTCCTTAAGTGTACGGAGTGTAGATAAAGACATTTAGAATATTTTTATAATAATTGGTTAGATACTAAAATCTTTAAGTTTATTATTCAAAATGTGAAACATTACTATGTAATACACATTCCATGCATAACAGTTACATGTGGCCAGATTGAAATATCTGCCTACACACTTTTAATCTTTACCCACTTAGAACTAAAGGAAATAGAAATTTTTATAGGTAACTATTTGTATAACTCATTCTAGTTAGGAAAAAACGAAAATCTTTCTTCCTAATATAATTGAGTGATTAAACAGAAAACGTCCCGAATTGAGAGAAATATTAATTTATTCTAAAATTATTCTGATAACATTCGGATGAGAATCTTATATTCATATACAAAGAAAGAATAGTCAAAAAGTTACAGTGCAATGTACTAAGATACTAAGTTTATGAGAAATATAGCAAGCTCTTAACCGTCATTGAATATATCAATTAAAAGATAATAAAACCAATTCAATAACGCCTCTGAAATGGATTCACCTATCTTAAATAATATCCGGATGTTGCATAGAGTTTTAATTGTTTCTTCGTAACGTACACGATAGCTCATACTTGAACTCCAATGGGAGGTGCAAATATTCGAAGTTATAGATTGCTGAGACAATTTGATGCGATTCAATGACATTATTGCTTAGATTGCAAGCCCAAAACTGCAGGCTTAAACTTAATTTTAATTATCAAAGTTCAGAAGACCGCATATTATGACTATTATTAGGGTGTTCATAAATAATGTAGTTCACACCCTAGTTCATAAGGGAGGCAGAAGCTACAAATTAGTCTATTTATATGTGAATCCTTCAACCTAAGGTTTGAATACTATTTCTCGCTTATGTCCGTTTGTACAATACAGTGGTATTGCTAACTTTTAAAAACTAGATATTTTATCAGAATTTAATAAACGTACAGTCAGTCAATCATAAACAGCACAGAAACTTGGACAAATGAGTATCGCTTAATTTAAGACACTAAATTAACACAGAGAGGGGAAATAAACAATAAGGCAGAAGGTATAATAGTAGTAGCAATGATAATAAGAATAATCATATAGTATATGGCATGAGAAGAAAGGACTTAATATACCTGACGAATATCTTAACCACTTCTTATTAAACAATTAACTATGCCATTAAATAGGAATAATATATTTGTCAACTCGGCGCTCAAATACTGTGGAACTATTCGCTCTTATTTTTAGACGAGAGTTCTTATAAATTAACTATGCCTATCTAGTTTATTTAATTATTTATTTAAACACATAAATATTGGTACAAAGGGGCATCAGATACATACGCGCCACACAAATCTCATTTGATTTGTGTGAGGGCTGTGATACTGCCCAGGTGCCCAAACTAAAGCAGGTGGTTTTCTTAAGGGGCCACACACGGAGCCTTTGACCTAAATGTCTGATCCACAGGGCAGTGGAGCATCGTAAGGAGATGCAGTCCCATGGTAGCCGGTGACCAACGATTGATTCATACACCATTTGTTCCTTCAGGATACTGGAGCCCATGTGTACCATTGGTTTGGAATCAGGGTTTTCCAACTTCCCTAGGTGGACTTTCCATGTCCACCAACCCGGTTAAAGCGTCGGACATTCGCTTTTCGTCCTTTCAATTTCGCAATCAACACCCCCGCCACGAGAAGGCAGTGAGTAGGACTTCCCTGGCAGAGGCTATATACGCGTGGCCATGTGAGAGCATTTCGAGAGGAAGAGCGGACTCTCCCCACTCTCGGCCGTACCAGGACATTTGGGGGCCTATCTAGTATCCTTCAATACGGCTGACTCAGTTGATCCACCAAATCTTAACAATGCTTTGACGACATCTATGACTAACCGATAGTAAACTGTGAATATTTCTTATCTTCAAAGGCTATTCAACAGTCAAACGGATTGGATCGATGAGGGGTACACTCACACTGTAATAGACAGATATATATTCTATGTAAATGTATTTCAAGTTTGTTTTCTTTACAGTACAAAAGCTGACGGGTATGGTAACTGAGATGTGCCATGTACAATAAAATAAAGTCATTAAGCATAACAGGAAATTAGAGAACAATAACAAAAATTTGGACGAAATTATTAGTTAAGAAAGTTTCTACTTCATTGCTTTGCTTCACCTAATATTAGCTTGAGAAGAAAAACTAATCGTAAGATACTTAATGTACCCGATTTATGGTCTTTTCACCGACACCCTGGGAGTTGTAGGACAGGATAAGAAGACTGCTATAATTGGCTACGTACAGTCAAACATTAGAAAGTTCATGTTTCGACAATTAAGTGCTTGAGACATAATTAATTGGATGAACTGTACGTGTAAAGTCTTGAAATGAAGTTGTTTCGGTGAACATCGAAAGGTTGATCTGTGGGACTTTAAAAAATATCCTTAGGCTTAAATGAATAACCAGAGCACTGCATCCATTCGTATAATAAGATCCCTGTAGTAGGGTAACCAAGGGAACTTTTCGATTAGGCCGTCCTGAGCTTCAACTAAGACAGGAAAGTATATTCTTAAAGAACAATAGAAAGTGATATTGTGATTGAAATACGCGACTTATGTCCTGTTGACTTATCAAGTGTTTAGCGTTAAATGTTTAGTATAATTATTACTTGTATTTAAGTGTTCAGAAGAGAGAGCTAGTAATTTTAAACAATGTGTCAAAGACAAATACTTAAGATAATAGTATGGCATTAATGTTCAAGTTAAGTAGGTACTCAGTTAAGAAGCTATAATAATAAACATTACGATGTAATTAAAAACGAAATCAAAGTTCGATATGGAGAACAAAGTGCATTATGAGTCAGATACTAAATTATTGACATAAAGGCTTTTTAAGATGGTCGACATTACTCATCTTTACTATCGGTTAGTCTGGAAACAATCTTCCCGTTACATTCAAATAATAGATATTCAATGCTAAGCGATAAATGGTATTTTCATGTTGCTAGAGCTAGGAAACAAACATATAATACGATGTAAATATCAATAGGATATTTGATATAAAATAAAAGTTGATTATTACGAAACATGATGAAACTACGAGCATTGTTCCATGCCATATACAAAAATGCATAAATTACCAAACAACCACCAAAGTTTTTCAAGTATAACTCACAAGATTTATTATGCTTTTGAGTGGTACAAGGTAAATGACAATAATCACAATCTAATACACGATTCACTTTCATTTGGACACCATTGAATAACTTGTTTTGCATCGATGACGGAGAACAAGATTGATTCAGCTTAGTCGATTGGTCCATATGTATAAACACACAACAGGGACAGTGACCAGACGATTGGGAAACAAACAATTCTGAGATAAACAACCTTTATAAAAAATTGAAACAATTAAGCCTACACTTCTCGAAAAGGAGTACTATTGAGTTTGGCTATAAAAAGTTCACAATGATAATGAAATATTAAGTGTCTCCCCAGAAATCAATCGACAATGATTACTGTCGTCATTTAGACAAACCATAACCAAGGTGTTTTATTTTGTAGTTCCTTACTACAACCAGCACAGTTGCTACTGTCTCTACTGTGTGTTATTTATTCATTGTTGTATGCAGTGTAGGAACTTGCAATGACGGTAATATGCTAACCTTTACGTTTACGCTGGTATTAATTATTGATAGTGGTTAAAAAATATTGTTTTATGGAAACTAACAAGTGTAGTTTTCCAGGTGGTAAGAGAGCTATTTGGTTTGATTGGCAAATGAGGACAATACAAAGCAGACCGATCTTAGGCTGTAGATAATGAGTTTCTTCATAAGTTGTAGTCATAAAAGCCCTCAAATGCCCTGGTACTGTCGAGGGTAGGGAGAGTCAGCTCTCTCGAAATGCTCTCACTTGACCACGCATATATAGCCACTGCCTCTTCGCGGCCGGAGTGTTGTTTACGAAATTGAAAGGGCGAAAAGCAAATGTCCGGTGCTTTAACCGGGTTGGTGGATATCGATGATCTACCTGAGTTGGAAAATCTTGATTCCAAACCAACGGTGTACATGGACTCCAGGACCCTGAGGGAGCAAATGGAATATGAACATATTGTTAGTCACCGGCTATCACGAGACTGTATCTCCTAACGTTGCTCCACTGACTTGTAAATTAGACCTCTAGGTCAAAAGCTCGAGGAGTGGTCCCTTAAGAAAAGCACACGCCTTGGTTTGGACACTTGGGCATTATCCCAGATCTCATTAGATTTATGTTTAAATAAATAAATAGACGTAGTTATAATGAAATGTGGCTTTTTGTGCGGTTTACATCTAAGCCTCACAATGTTACATAATTGGAAAAAGATTTTGTCAAAATCCTCTGGCGCATGACAGTTTTATAGCCTTATCAACTATCCACCATTTCAACTAGGGCAAGCATTCAAAAATAGCGAACTGTGTGTAAGCCTCTTGTACAACATTCGTAGAGCGCGTCTAGACCATCTAGGTAAGTGTTTTTGAATGGCAATGACAAGTGAATGAAAATAACCGTGTCTGAACACATATCACTGAAACTTTTCGTTAATTAGACCTACCATTGGGTATGAGCAGTCACTCTAAGATTTAATACGATTGAATACAGAAGTCACCGAACACTAACTCGGAGGATAAGTATCGCAAGAACGGGCTGTGGCTGTTCACATCAGTAAAGTGATGAATCAGGAACAAACAATTTTACTCCGCTTACTTTAACAGTCAAACCGATTCGTTGATGCTTATTGTTCTTACAAGTTTGTACAAAAACCGAGATCATTAGTGATCTATATATCTGCAGATATAATTACTCCCAGCATCGGAGCTGTCAACCAAAAAGACTGAGAATATTGGAAAATCATCCTTGAAATTTTTAAAGCTAATTTATCAGTGTATGCGAATGAAGTTACTGTGCTTTTAGAAAAAAACGGAACCCCAGGATCGACAATTGAGCAAACAATTTTAAAGAATTAAAGCCTAAGATTGGGTGAATTTAGGAAAGAAAATCAATTTTTCCCATTGGAGTACGTTATTTAGAGAAAATTTTTCGGTTAGGGCGAAACTTGAAGACAGACTGGCTTATAAGCCAGGATTTGTTGAATAAACAACGCTTATACAACAATCAACCGGTAAGCACTGTCATCAGCATTAGATTGAGTATTTTTTTAGTGTAGTTCTTGGATGCTGAATAACCAGTGACCATATAATTAATCCCTGCAACGACCAGGATCACTTCAGGTGCAGGACTACCTACCCTGGAAGCAACGCATTTGTCGGAAGTGGCGCTATCTTGGTTCAAACTTTAAACTGAGTTGAAATACTAGGCTGTATGTTTTGGTGATTTGTGTCTTGATAGTACATTGAAACTCTCAAGTTCATATTGGTTCACTCAACTTTTATATTAAGCTTTGTGTTGGTCTGCAAAGATGCCTAAACACAACCAAAACTATAATTTTATCATGAACTAATACGATACATATATAAACCGTTTTGTGACCTTTTTGTGCTCTTATCAGGCCTAATAATAACATTACTTATCAACCTATATTGATATATGTTTCTTTCCACTTGTTTATATTACCCTTTACTCTTGGTCCTTCTATATGACTAAAGGTGCTACAGGTATTCGGAGTTCGACAACGTTTTTATATCTAATACGTTTATGATCGAAGTATGCCAACTCAATCAAATCAGAAGTCAGAAATGAAGGGGTCCGAAGATGTATTCGAAAAGCTGCCGATATGTCGAGAACAGTTTGCTCCAAGCTGGCTATTAGTTGCAAGGGATGTGTACCACGGGTACCCACTCGTGATCTGATGCGGAGGAGTGACTGTGCGCCTTCTGCTTGTGTGTGTCCAGCAAAACTAACGAGGTCAGCATCAAAATTGAAAACTCATAGAACTATTTGATTTTCGGGGTTTCATTTACCTCTACAGCTCGATCTCCACACTCTGATGGGTTGGTGAATACCATAAGACGTGACCAATCAGAAGTTTAAACTCAACGATATTGCCGCTGGTAAGTACTCTTCTGATCACTTTCCATGTCCAGCAGCATCTAACTGTTTTCTCCCAATATTAGGAGCCATGCGGTACAATATAACAATGAAAACTTCCATTCCTTGTTTTCTTCGTCAGTTTTTCATCTCCAACCGTCGTGGAAAAGGAAAAGATTGAAGTTGTTAATAGATGTGCGTGCGTAAGGACATAAAATGGGAGAAAAAAGTGGTATACATGCCTATTGACAACAAGCAGTAGCGTAAAAAGTGCTTTTGTACAATAGTTTTTTGGACGTTATTTACGGCAGCAGATAAACGCATATTAGACAAAATGTTCGCTTTTATTTTCTTTGACACAACAATGCAAAGAAACGAGATAAAACAAAATGTTATGCAGTGTTCCATGTGTAGTAGGCGTTCAAGCGTTCTTGAAACCTTCTAGAATGCGTTGTTTTGGGCCGCTTATACCAGAGACGTTTCGTCATGTTTGTTGTTTATTGAGTGATGTATTATAATCGTAAGGCTCGTGTCGTTTGAGTGTACTGGAAGAAGACAAATATTGATAGAATTTCATTTCAAATACACAGTTCTAGGACGGTCAGTGTTGATGCTATTGTTAACACCATTTTATCAACCATATGGTATTTGAACTCACTTGGAATTGTTGGATTGAATCTTCCCATTGATGTTTAGGACTGAAATTGATCAGTCTCTTATTGCCATATATGCATACTGTGCGTTCTACTTCGATAAAGCCTTAATTCACAAGCATTATGGGCAAAGACGGATAGTAGCTAGCAGCTGACGAGTTTCAAATGGTGCGAAACGCGCGCACTGGATTCCACTGCTAGTCGCTATCCATCTTTGTCATTTGGTTTTTGATTTTGCCATTAAGGTCTTTGAAAGAGCAGCATACCTACAACTGGAAAACATCTGGAGCTCAAAACAATTGTCAACCAACACCAAGGTTAGAATTTTCAATACAAATGTCAAGACAGTTCTACTGTATGGGGCGGGGACGTGGAGAAATACGAAAGCCATTATCCACAAGATACAAGTGTTTATTAATAGCTGTCTACGCAAGATACTTCGGATCTGATGGCCAGACACTATCAGCAACAAGTTACTGTGGGAGAAAAACAAACCAGATTCCAGCAGAGGAAGAAATCAGGAAGAAGCGCTGGAAGTGGATTGGGCACACCTTGAGGAAATCAGCTAATTGCGTCACAAGATAAGCCCTCACATGGAATCCTGAAGGTCAAAGGAGAAGAGGAAGACCAAAGAACACATTACGCCGAGAAATAGAGACAGACATGAGAAGAATGAACAAGAACTGGATAGAACTAGAAAAGAAGGCCCATGACAGAGTGGGTTGGAGAAAGCTGGTCGGCGGCCTATACTCCATTGGGAGTAACAGGCGTAAGTAAGTAAGTAAGTCTTTGAAAGGTCCTTCGTATGTCATTTTGATAGGTCGTCGTCATGAATCGCGACGTATGAAGACGAATGTACTATGCCGTAATTCACTTTGAACGAAAACATCCGTTGATTGTGGTCAAGTTGGAACAGGTCTTACTGAACGCATAGCGTTTGTAAGCCTGCTCGTGTAGGAGTTTAGATCCAAGTTCATTGAAGAAGATGTAGGATCCACGAATTCTCCTGGAAGTTTGAGTGTCGTTCCATATAGGAGTTGAGCTGTAGTGTATCCAATGTCAGCCGATACCTAGTAGGTCAAGTGGAAGGATGTCGGTTCACTGTGAAACGCTTACAGCTGATAGTGTAGCTTTTAGTTGTTGGTGAAAGCATTCTACCAACCCGTTCGCTTGGAAGTGGCAGGCGATCGTTAAGAAACGTGTGATTCCTAATAATGTAATCAGATAACGTAAAAGTTCGGATTCGAACTGGCATCCGCGATCTGTAGTGATCGTTGAAGGGCAGCCAAAGTTTGCGCGGGCTACTGTTCCACCAATAATGTCCTTGATGTGTACCTCTTCTGGTCATCGATTGAAATGGTCTACATAAGTTATTAGGTAGGAGTATGCATTTGAATATGGCTTGGGTCCTACAACATCCAGATGAACATAGTCGAAACAAGCCAAAGCAACATTTGTTGCGTCTAATCACCCTAGATTTCTGGCAGCTTACACAGGAGCGCGCCCACTCCCTCACGGCTTTGTTTATACCAGGCCAGCGAAATCGTTCTTCTATGAGCTTTTTGGTTGCACAAACACATGGATGAGGAAGTGTGTGCAACGTATTGAAGACGTAGGGTTGGTGATGTTTAGGCACGAATGGGAGA